GATTTTAAAGGGATTTTTTGGGGGGAATTTTGGGGAAAATTGGGGGGATTTTAATGGATTTTAAGGGATTTTTCAGGGGATTTTTGGGGATGTTTTTGGGGGATTTTTAGGGGAATTCTCTGGGGATTTGGGGGGAATTTTTTGGGGGGATTTTTGGGCTTTTCAGGGCGCGTTTTTTGGTGGTTTTAATTTTGATTTTTTTCTCCCCAAATTCCCAGCTGGGATTCTTCAAGCGCCGCTACAAGGAAATGCTGGAGGGCGCCGAGACCCCCGGGGACCCCCCCGGGGACCCCCAGGGCTGAGAGAATTTGGGGAAAATTCCTCAGAAAACCTCATTTAAATACTCATTAAAATGCCTCGAAACTTCATTCCAATATGCCATTCAAGTTCATGAAACCTTCATTTAAATATTCATTAGAACTGGTTAATTTTTGTTGTAAAAAGCGTTGGGAAAATTCAATTAAAGGCGCGAAAAAGGGGGAAAAAATTAGTTTAAAAATCCGTTTTTGAAGGGATTTTTAAAATTCAATAAAAAAATGAAAAATTTGAATATTCTTCTAAAAATTCGGTTTAAAAGTCCCTGAGAAATTGAATTTAAAATTCCTTTCCAAAAATTGAAAGCCCAAACCCCGGGTTTCACCCCAAAACCCCAAATTTCTCCCCAAAACCCCAAAATTTCACCCCGAAATCCCAAACTCTGACCCCAAAACCGCCAAATTCTGCCCAAATTTCACCCCAAAACCATCAAGATTTTACTGAAACCCCCAAATTCTGCCCTAAAATCCCCAAATTTCACCCCAAATCCCCAAATTTCCCCAAAATCCCCAAATTTCACCTCAAATCCCCAAATTTCCCCAAAATCCCCAAATTCCATCCCCAAATCCCCAAATTCCGCCCAAAATCCTCCCCAAAACCCCAAAATTTCACCCCAAAATTTCACCCCAAAATTTCACCCCAAACCCCCAAACTCTGCCCAAATTCCATCCCAAATCCCCAAATTTCCCCAAATCCCCAAATTTCCCCCAAATCTCCAAATTTCACCCCAAACCCCAAAATTCTGCCCAAATTTCACCCCAAATCCCCAAATTTCCCCAAAATCCCCAAATTTCACCCCAAACCCCGAAATTCTGCCCAAATTTCACCCCAAATCCCCCAATTTCCCCAAAATCCTCAAATTTCACCCCAAATTTCACCCCAAACCCCGAAATTCTGCCCAAATTTCACCCCAAATCCCCCAATTTCCCCAAAATCCCCAAATTTCACCCCAAATTTCACCCCAAACCCCGAAATTCTGCCCAAATTTCACCCCAAACCCCCAAATTTCCCCAAAATCCCCAAATTTCACCTCAAACCCCCACATTCTGCCCAAATTTCCACTAAAATCCCCAAATTTCCCCAAAATTCTTCCCGGGCCCCCCCAATTCCCAGGCTGGGGGCGGGGTCAGGACAAGCCACGCCCCTTTTCCCATAGTGGGCGTGGCTTGGGCGCGGTGGGCGTGGCTTGGGCTCGATTGACGTGGCCTGTGTGCGGTGGGCGTGACCTGGGGCTCGGTGGGCGTGGCTAGGCGCTCGATTGACGTGGTCTGTGTGCAGTGGGCGTGGCTTGTTGCTCGGTGGGCGTGGTCTGTGATTGGTGGGCGTGGCCTGGGGCGCGGTGGGCGTGGCCTGTGATTGGTGGGCGTGGCTTGGGGCGCCCCAAAATTCCCCCCAAAAGCGGCGGCGGCGGCCGCGCCCCAAAAACCCCCAAAAACCCCCCAAAAAACCCCCCAAAACCCCCAAAAAATCCCCAAAAATCCCC